CCTTTCGCTGTAAACAGTTTACAGTAAATAGCCGCTTAAAAACTAACCCGAAAAAAGAATTTCTCGACTTCAACGGGATTCGAACCAATGGCCTCTGCGTTAGAGCTGCTCCAACCAGTTGAGCTATGAAGACCCAAATATTGGGAGCAAGCCAATTAGTCATGATTAGTTGAGTTCATCTTAACCCGTGAATGGAATGAAACAACGAAGATAATGTGAATTTCGGAAATACAAATATTATATGAAGATATGGTCGTCGCAATGGTAATTGCAATATCAGCCCCTCCTTTTAGTTTATAAGCCCCACTAAAACCCCTGACGATGATGTAAAAACCCTGGGCTTATAAGCGGCAGTTTATGGTATTACTTTTAACAAATTGACGTTTTTATGCCTATAAATATCAAGCAATAACAGATCATGCTTAGACCTTAGGTTTGGGTTTTCAAAAGATGGTTAACTTTAAACGAAATCAGCTCGTCTAGGAACACGTATCTAGAGCTGATAAACTATTGTTTAGCCTTGACACAAAGTCCCAGGTATGCAATTTCAAAAATGATAGTCCAAAACTGCCTACATAACAATATATAGCTACTGTTGTAAAAAGAACCGGTCAGACTGAGTATGTACAAAGACTCAGCTCAGTGAAGAAACACTGATAGCTGCTACTTGTGGTCGTAACGCATCCGAAAACTGGGAAGCCTTCGTGTTTACTAGGCAATCTGTGACTGTGATGGTTGTACGAAAGACTGCCATTCAAAACATAGGAATTCCTTTTCAGACATTGGAGGCATTGTTCCGGTCGCACTCCATTGTTTCCAGACAGATGAAGGCTGCACACACTTATAGCTTACAGATTTTGATTTTTTAAAAATCCCTGAGCTAGTGGTTGATTCATGTTGTCGGGTGAATAAGCGGCCCTACACCGACCATACATTTTAACCTACATCGATACCAACGTCTACCCTATACTTTACATCGACCCCACATCACCCAACAGCCACCTTTCGTTTCAACACAGTTATTTGTAATGATGTCAGTCGTAAGTAGGGAAGGTATATACCACCACCACACATTGTTTCCCTCCACCACCAACACCATTACCACCGCATTTCTACTGTTTCTTTTTACCACAACCACCACCACCACCACCACCACATTTCTTTTGTTTTCTCTCCGATATTACTAACACATTTCTATTGTTTCCCTCCACCACCACGAACATCACGTTTTTATTGTTTTCCCATCACTACCACATTTCTATTATCTTCATCCAAGAGCACCACCACAGGTAACCAAGGCTCTGTGATAGTACCATTATCCTATTTGTACGATCCTAGCATGTTTATATACCGTTGGAGTTCGAATTTCGTGTACACAGTTGTGTTAGAAATGGAGCACGGCGGCCGAGATGTGATTTCGTGTCTCCTAACTTGTATATTATATTGTATGGAGGCTGAATTTGCGCAAATTATAACGAAAATTCGTTTGAGCATTTACGACAAAACCAACTAACTGCAAAGTAAGTTTTACTGACCTTTACTTAGTATTTCCTACAAATTATAGGATCGTATTTTTACCCCAAGCAAACGCCCATATTACTGGAACCCTACTGTGGTACTATCACAGAGCCTGGGTTAACTGTGGTACCACCACCACGTTTCTATTGGTCCCCTCCACCACAGCCACATTTCTATTATTTTCCCTCCACGACCACCACTACATCTACATTTTTATTGTTTTCTAAATGAAACTAGAACTCGTAATATTACATGTAACATACAATCTATGACTGTGACGTGGTTGTACGAATAAAATTCATGTCCGTTCCCTTAAAATTCAAAGTCCCGTACAAAGCCGTCCAAGGGGAAGCTTGAACACATGTAAAACGGACAGTCTCTGAGGACCTGTCCACTTTTACAAAGAAATTTTTGAAAACGGGATTTTACAGAGATATTTTTTTTCCCCGTTTTAGCCTCCCTTCCACACGTGAACTACGTTTTCGGGCACTAAACACGAAGGTTTTCACAAACTCGTCCCCAGGGCTTTTCCCGCACCACCTACTTTTTTTAAGGAAATTCCTACGAAAAAGGTTAAGGTTTTCAAAATTGCTCTCAGAGAGGCAGATCTTTGAAAAACGCTGGCTTCTCCTTAAAGTGTGGACGGGAGTAAACGAACACATGCACTATAAGGGTGCTATCGTATTTCCATTAAAAAATATCCTGACCGTGTGTGGACAGGGCTTAAAATGAAGTAGAAAAATATGAAACGGCAAACTGATCCTTATGGCAAGACGATGAAGAAGTTATACACAAAAGAATAAAAAATATATATATATATTTAAACAAACTGCCATATATATATTTTTTGTTTTATTCTTTTGTCTATTACTTCTTCACCGCCTTGCCGTAAGGATCAGTTTGCCGTTTTATATTCTACAAGTTTAACTGTACTGATCCAGGTCTACAACTGGGAGATCCGGCACCACTCATTCGTTTGTTGTTGTGGACTTGCTGGCATTTCATATATCTTAAAATGAGGCCCTTATGAACCAAAATGAATCTCATATAAGGTGCAGGTAAAAGGAGAGTGGCAAGATCTCATTTGCTCGATAACTATCTGGTAAATTTTCCTACCATATGTCATACATTGTTCTTCTTAGCTCTTCTTTGATTAGTCACTTATTCTACATTTAATTTTCTGTTATTATTCAACAGTTCTTTGGAAGATCACTGTTTGAACACACGAAACGTGAAGTTAAATTTTTTTCTTTTCAGAGGTGCACTTAGCAACAACAACAACAACAACAACAATGCATTTATTTGAAGAAATATAAAGTTTACAATTTTATGTCCTGCAAATAGCAATAATGATAATCTAGGCAGGACAAGACTTTAAATAAAGACGTTATTAAATTACATAAGAAAAAAGAAAAGAAAAGAAAAGAAATACAAAAACATACAGAAAGAAAGAAAGACCTTTCATATAAATTCAAATACAGGGGATTTTGTTATTTGAAAAGGACTAAAATTACAAGTGGAGGTATATACAACATATCAGGTTAACTTCACAAAATATTCTATTAAATAATTCACATTCAAATAATTATCTTCATTACCGAGAACTTTAAGGAGAAGTGATTTAACTTTTTTACGAAAATTAGATACCGTAAAATTCCGAAAATAAGCCCCTCCATGTATAAGCCCCTCCAAATATAGGCCCCCCAATCCGGTGACGCCAAAAACCTTCCGTTAAATCGCCCCTCCAAATATAAGCCCCCCGGGGGCTTATACTTGGAAAATTGCCCTCAAATACAAAGTAAAACAAAGCAAAAATGGTAAATTTACTTCCAACTATAAGGCTAGCCAAATCGATTTTGAAACGCAAATTTCCTTCCGTAGATAAGCCCCTCCCAATACAAGCCCCTCCAAAAATAAGCCCCTCAAAAAGGACCTTTGAAAAATATAAGCCCCGGGGTTTATTTTCGGAATTTTACGGTATGTTGAGAGTCTTAACAGCAGTTTGCTTTTGATAACTACAGGATTTCTTCAGCTTTGGCAGAAATTTGGATCGTAATCGCCATGAAGAACATCTTCAACTGAAACAAGGAAAACGTAGTGTAAGCCATCTAAAGCACGCATTTCTGTTTCCTACGAGGTCCGCAAAAATGATTGACAGCAGCGAAAAGCGCAAACGTCAGTTGGTTTTTGAACTTCAGAATTCGTGTGTTTTTGAAAAGCGCAGTAGACAGTGACAGGGGTCAAACAGTAACGGCTAAAAAAACCCCACTAAATCGATGAATTCAGGCCAAAAAACACAGCAGTACGTCAAAGGTAAGTCTCCTTTATTTATTTTACAGAGAAAAGAGGAAAAATTATGATATTTAGCGTTCGCAGACCTCAGTATTTTATTTCTCATACAAAGTCTCAACGGTTGCTCGTAACGCGAAACCGACTCTCTTATGAGAAAGTTAATTTACATAACAACAACAACAACAACAACATAAGCTTTATTTGCATGACTATAATTATGTAGTTACAGTATTGCAAAAGCTTTAACATAAAAAGGAAAACAAACAAACAAATCATAACAATGATAACGCAATGCAATGATTACTATAGTCAATCAAGTGTTATCAGCATGATTTGATAACAAATTATTACGTAAATCATTACATAATGAGACAAATTTCAACAAATGTGAATTTACGGAAAAATTCTGTGAATTCATCAATTTAATTATTAATTCTGTGTAAGATAGCTGATTAAAGTCGACAAAATTTTGTTGGATTTGATTGTAGAATTTCTCCCTTGGGATTGAGTATTTTGGACAATGGAAGAGAAAATGAA